AAACTTTGAAATTACATCAGCAACACATTCTTTTTCGTAAAAAGGCTTGTTAGTCATTAGTTTAAAGGAGCAATTATTTTAAAAACAATGCTTCTAATTCAGTAAAAATTCCATTATAGATTGAACAAAACAATGTAAGTAGAAATCTCAAAGAAAAACTTATTTTTCTGAATAATTCTTCCTTCTGAATTTTTTCTTTCATGTTGGCTTGGATATATTTCTGCTGTTTAACACCGAACTGTTCCATTACTGCTAACAGATCTTGGTCTATTTTCTGCAATATAAAACCAATTACAATTTTTATTTAAAAAATCAAACGGTGACACTTTCTCTGGTACAAGGAGATTATACTCGGAACAAGACAGCTTTTCTACATTAATCAATGTTAAACTTTTCGTCTCCGTCAAAATATGCTCATTCCTTTTGTATCATTTTAAATGACCCACAAAGCATATTTCTTTTTAGTGTATTTTAAAGTTTTAAAAATGCTGAACTTTACTCCGGAAACTTTTTGAAACATTCTACTGAGTTCGATTCTCATCAAATTTATTTTTCTCATTACGATTATTGTTTTTCACCTTCTGATCAAATGCTTATTAATTGATATTAATTCAAAATAATAACAGTAGTTTTCTACTTTACAAAATCGAAAATCCAGTAAACTTCTCCAGAAAACCATTTTTGATGGGGCGTTTGTTTTGATCATTATTCTGTTTATGAATTTATTTCGGAAATCATTCACTCACTTTCAGTGCAACACTACGCGAAATGATGAATCATCCTGTGTGTTATCAGAGGATGTTCCATCATGCTAATTTTTGATACTATCATATCAATGAAAAATTCCTTGAATCAGTCGTCTACACAGGATCAGCTCAATCTTTCTCTATATGTTTTAAACTATGTATTCGATTATTTGAATTCTCAATTTTACATTTACAATTCAAAAATTATCTTTAGCTAAGATTCAAAGTGGCATTCGGTGTTTTCATATCTTTCATACTTTTGGCCATAAAATGACAATTAGTTGTAACTAAATATATTCCTATGCATAACATCATCGCGCATTATTACAATTTATAAATTACTTCCTTCTCGTTTATAATTACTACATCTGAACTTTGTTGAAATCGTGCCAGGTATTTTCACATATATATTACTTTATTAATAAAAATAGAAATTTTGAATGCTTCTTGCAGAATAATAACTCATAATTAATTCAGAATCGAAATCCATTAGTTTGTTGACAAATCAATGCCTATTAATTTTTCCAAAGCATGTAAATTTTGTCAAAATTATTGCACAGATAAGGATTGGATAAGATCGGATCATTGCCTTGTTCCGAATTGATTACTCTAATTGCGGTTGATTGCGTTGATACTAACAGTAATGTCGAAGTAATGGGTGAGTTTTTCGTATGTTTTCGTTTCATTTCTCGTTGAAGTTCGAAAATTGTATAACATTTTAGAAAAAGAATACACTGCATCCAATCCCGAATGCTCATTTAATTAAATGCAGCAAAACTAATAAATAAAAAGAAGAAATGAATTGAGAAGTTTAAAGGCAAATTATATGTCGTACTGCTTATGGCAATGAATACACTTTACATCTTCGAAAATCCTTCTACATTTGCTGGGGTGAGTTGTGCTACTATTGCACAATTTCTGCAACATCAAATCATGTTGTAAGAAGAATCATCTCATTTATAAACAATACAATGAAATATCGTTACTAATCAAAAAATTTGATACCAAATAATTTGGTAGAAGTTATGAATTGTTGTAGCAAGCGTAAAAGTATAAAATACATGCGACATCAAAGACCTTCATACAATTTATACAGGTCAATGAATTAATGTCAAAAATCGAAAATGCAGAAATGGAAAAAGTGGATGACTTACGCCAGATAATCAATTTTACATCGATAGTCCAGCAAAATCACGGTTATCTGTTCTGTAATCATATCACAATCTAGAAGATGCGGTATATGTATGCTCGCTCACACGATTCATGTGTTATCAAAAGCATAGCATGCACCTTGATCATCTGTTTAAATTATCAAGCGCAATTTGAGAGATGACTTGATAATTTCTGTCCAAAAATTCTTCAAATGTTCAGAAATATATTCTGCAATGCTTTCATATTACATGATATTGCCAGCTTCTCATCAAAATGTCGGGATTCTTAATGACATGCAATAATGAAACAAAATAGCACCATTACTACAAGGAGGCGTAAAAAATAATTATGATATGTCACATAATTTGTAGTAACAAAAAAAGGTGAACGTCTGAAGCGGCAAATCGAAGAGTCAGCATATTTGGGAGCTAATCGAATATTTACAAAACTTGATAACACCATTGCTAGCATGATAACAACTGTTGCAATTTACGAGTTGAACGATATGAATGTGTTTGTTCATTCAATCATTTATAAGATTTAAAATATATGTTATTAAATAGCATCATCGCCATGTGATATTTCTTCGAAAAATTAAGAATAAAAATGCCCAAGATTACATGTAAGAGAGAGGAGAAGTTAATTTCGATAAATTTCTTCAGTAATTCATTACAATGAATCATTGATTTCAATTTCGCTTCCATTTTCAGTTATATTGCAACAAAACTATACTGCTTGAAATATGTTGCAGAAACTATCCAAATGATCAACAAACAAACTGACAATGGCAGCATGTTTGTCTTTATTAATTAACTCGTAGTTTTGAATTGATTTTCATCAATTTATTTTCGATTCCATGAAAATAATGAGAGATATTAAAAAAAGCCATTTCTGCAGAATATGGATTTTCATGTTGATTATTTATTGGTATGCTAA